CAGTGCAACTTTATGGTCAACATCTGACTGAAGCTGACCATAGAATTGTGCTGGGAAACCTATAAATGCCTAGAGAAGTGTTCTCCCTAAGAATCTTTAGGTCCTCCAGTACAATTTCTGGTGGATGTTAACCTGGAGGTTGTGCTGAAGGACCTAGCTGTTCCTAGAGAGAACATATTAATCAAATCTGTGAATAATCAAATCTGTGAAAGTCAAAGCCGCAGATGTGGAGGGCTAACTGTACATTACAGAAGCTCTTCTGTACTGGGCTTCTGAAATGTATATCTGAGCTTGTAATATAGTTCTGTAAGTATTGTTGTTGTTGTTGTGGGCTTTCGATTCATTTATGACTTACGGCAACCCTAAGGCAAATCTGTCATGGGGTTTTCTTGGCAAGATATGTTCAGAGGAGGTTTGCCATTGCCTTCCCCTAAGGCTGAGAGAGTGTGACTTGCCCAAGGTCATCCAGTGGGTTTCATGGCTAAGTGGGGAATCAAACCCTAGTCTCTAGAGTTGTAGTCCAACATTCAAAACCACTACGTCACACTAGCAAGTATATGAGAAGCTTTGTTAGTGTTATTCTGTTGCTTTGCTATTTGGGATACAGTAATTGAGGTGGGTAATTGAACTGACCTTTTTTCTTTTTTGGTAATTCCAGTACCATCAATAGCATGGTTGTTCCACCCTATTTCTTTGTTCAGAGAGAGTTTGCCATGACCTTTGAGGCTGAAAAAGTGTGATTTGCCCAAGATTGCCCCAGTGGGTTTACATGGCCAAGCAGGGATTCGAACCCTGGTCTCCAGAGTCGTAGTCTTAACACTCAAACCACTACACCATGCTGCCTCCCACCACCAGTAGCTGCCTCTTCATTTCTTCATTCCTCACTGTGATCCTTTCTCTGTTTATGCCAGTTTCAAACTCCCAGACCTTTTTCTGAAGTGCTCTGTAGTTTCATCATTCATTATGTTGCACTTAAGTACTTTTTCTTTCCCCTTGAATTCACTTTGTCTAATCAATGTCTGTGCTTTTGTTTGTGCATTCCTAATTCCGTAGCCATAAATAGGCTACATCTTTTATTAGCCCACGTGCAACTGACGCTGCCAAACAGAGGAGGACTTAGTAGTTAGCTAAGTAGCAGGGGTTTTTTGCAGACATCATAGCAGTAATTTGAAACAATACTTGGTGGACGTATTGAAGGCCTGGTTAGCACCAATGCTGGTACAATTTCAGTGCAGTTATTCCTAAAGTCTGGCCTTCTAGATGTTTTGGACTTCGGCTCCCAGAATCCCAGACCATTGGCCAAGATGGCTGAGGCTTCTGGGAGCTGCAGTCCAAAATACCTGGAAGACCAGAGTTTGGGAATCACTGAACGTCAAGTCAAGGCATGCCTTTTTTAAAAACTGTTGGGTCTAATTGATTTTATGCAAGTTACGCATATGCTGTGGTTGGTATTACAGGTTGATTCCCCCTTATCCAAAATGCTGGAGACCAGAAGTGTTTTGGATTTTGGATTTTTTTTTATTTTTATTTTTTATTTTTTGGGGGGGGATTTTGGAATATTTGCATAGACATAATGAAATACAGTGGGCCTTTGGTATCCCCTGGGGGTTGGTTCCAGGATATCCCCTAGATAACAAAATCCATGGATGTCCAAATCCCATTAAATACAGTGGCATAGCAAAATGGTGTCTCTTTCATAAAATAGCAAAATCAAAGTTTGCTTTTTGGAATGTATAATTTTTTGGAATACTTTCAAGCTGTGGATGATTGAATCCGTGGATAAAGAATCCATGGATACAGAGGGCCAACTGTGTCTTGGAAATGGGACCCAAGTCAAAACTTGAAATTCACTTATGTGTATACTTTATACATATAGACTGGAGGTAATTTTATGCATAATATTTCAAAATAATTTTATGCATGAAACAAAGTGTGTGTACGCTGAACCATCAGAAAGCAAAGGTATCACTATCCCAGCCACCAATGTGAACAATTTGGATTTTGGAGGATTTCGGATTTCGGAATTCCACATAAGAGAGACTCAACCTGAATTTTAAATTGTTTTAACTGGTTTTAAATTGTCTGGTTTTTAACTGATAAGGGATTTAATATATTTTAATATATTAAATTTAATATATTTTTAGTCTTTTAAAATGATTCTTATTTATTGTTTTAATTTAAAGTAAGATGCCTTGAGACCTTTAAAGTAAGATGCCTTGAGATCTTTGGATTCAGGATGAGATATAAATACTTTAAATAAATAATTAATGGGCAGCTAACAGGTAGGGATATTGGGAATTGTAGTCCCAAAACTTCTAGAGAGCCACACCTTTGTTTTAAGTGACAGGCAGCTCTCTCATAAAAAAACTAAATTGGCTTTGACCTCCCTTGCACCCTGTGCATTATTCTGTACTTTCATCATTTGTAAGTAATGCTTGCATTCAAAATTATTGCTACTAAACCATGGTTTAATATCATGAGCATCTTTGGCCAACATGTAATAGTGGGAGAGAAGAACTTTCAGCAGCAATCCTTGTTCAAGAACAGATTAGTTGCAGATACACAATAATATCTGTTTTAATCCACAAAATACTAGACAAGAAGATGAATCACATTCAAACACTGCATGATGTGTGAGGCTGACTGGAATGTGGAAGTAAATAACGGATCATTTCAAGCATTAACCAAAATCATGGTTTGGCCACCATCTAGCTTGTAAACTCCCTGTTTCCTGCCTTCCTCCTCTCCCCTGCTTTGATTCCTTCCCTGGTTTACTCTTTTGGGCAAACCATGGTTTCCTGTGATCTCCAGATCAGCAAACCATGATCTGTGTTTTCCTCTCCAAACTATGGTCTAAGCGGATTGCAAACTCCTGTCTGCCAAATGGTGGAGTGCAAGTAACAACCTGCATTACGACAAGCTATCATTTGCCTGAAACTTGAAGGTCAGAGAGGAAATTTGAACATGTAAAGAGAAGAGACAGCATGTGAGCCCAAAAAATGTCACTCCTGCCCCATGTACAACTGGGTCTGTTCCAGGCTCTTCCAACAATCTCTTGTAGTTTCCAGATTGTGTGTCGCTTGCCTTTGTTGAACAGCAGATACTAATCTTTAAAACAAACCTCCGCGATACACTGCATGTGTTGCATGCTTTTCTTTTTTAACTCTCGTTGTTGCATCTGTGTTGCTGCAATGGCCGAAACAGTGCTAATGTGTTTGCATTACTAAGTGTGTGATGTGCTCTTTGGTTTTTATTTTATTTTCTTCCAAAGACCTGTGGGTGAAGTGTGTCCTCCTTACCTTCTTTCCGTAGGCCTTGCTTCCGGAGCAGCGATCCTTGCATGCCGATACGTACCGGCGGATTGGTCACCTCTGACACCCCTTGACTGCTAATGCACCTCATTCCTTACTCACACAAACTGGCATAAGCTGAGAAACCCAGGGATCAAATTGCTTTTTTGTTGTTGTTGTTGTTGGTGTTTAATTTAAAGAGGAAAAAAAACCCAATTTGTTTTATTTTCAAATCTCTCCAGTATTATGGTTTCTTCCCCCCCCTTATTTATTTGTGTCAGAATTTATTTTTGTTTGTGTGTGCGTGTGTGTGTCTGTGCACATGTGTGTGTCAGGTAAAAGGACTCACACACTTATCTTTCATTTTTTAATTCTTTTTTTTATTTATGTTATTTAAAAATTGCTTATCCAGGGGAGTATGGAAAGAGAAACACTATTTTTTCCCCTCAGATTGTATGCTGTAACTATTTTTAAACAAAAAAAGGTACTAATTTTTATATATTGGATTTGAAGAAAGAAAACTGGGTTATTTATACAAAGGTTTTTGTACGAGGTGTATAAATACTTTTTAAATGGGGAAAGAGCTACACTTTTTTTGACTGTAATTGGGCAAATAAAATACACGTTTTAAGTACGTCAGTGTCTTTGTGTCTTCCCAATGACCAGGGCTTGGTGTACCCATTAATTAGGCTGGAGTCCTAATTAGGCAGGCTGGAAGTTCCTTTTCCATGCAACATTCAGCCATATGGCTGTTGCAAGGTTTAGGCAACAAACTCTAAAGATAAACCCAAGAGAAGCAGGATAAACCAACTGAAATTTGGGCATGACATAGTCTGAGACCATGAAGACTGGGCAGAAGTTTTGCATTTTGTATATCCTAACAGTTGTTCTCTTTGTTGTTTGCCCTCAAGCCATTTCTGACTTAGGGTGAACGAAAGCCGCCCTTTCCTATGGTTTTCTCGGCCAGCTTTATTCAGTGGAGGTTTGCTGTTGCCTTCCTCTGAAGGTGAGAAGTTGTGCCCAAGATCACCCTGTGGATTTCAATGGCCAAGCAGGGATATGAACCATGGTCTCCTCCAATACCCAAAGCAAACACCTCAACCAACACCTCAAAGCAAAATCAGGTTAAGGTCCACAAACTACATTTCCTCCCTGGAAGTAGCTCTATGTCACGGAGAGTGCCAGCACCAGCTTTAGGGTGAGTGCGGCATTTTTCACCAGTGTAGACAAATGTAGACATTTTTCACCAGTATAAACAATGACAGGGTCTGAGCTGTTAGCAAGTGACTAGGAAAGAGAGCTTGGAGTTGTGATAACTAAAAGCCAGCAGCTCTAGGAGTGCCACAACGCTACGGACCAAAGGATCAGGCAGCTGGAGCAACTCTCCTACGAAGCAAGGTACAACATTTGGGACATTTTAGTTTAGAAATAAGTTGAATAAGGGGGAATGAGAAGGGTATATGAAATTATGCATGACGTGACGAACAAGATAATTTATGTATGAGACCCATGAATTCATGGAAGATAAGGGTGTCTATGACTATTAATTATGATGGCTGTATGCTACCACCAGCATCAAGAACAATATGCCTCCGAATACCAGTTATTGGAGAAGATAAAGTAGAGAGACTTCTCTACTTTTTAAGCTTTCAAGAGTGAGGAAGAGGATCCTGGCCTAGACAGGTCTTTGCACTGATCCAGCAGGACTATTCTCATGTTTTACAAAACTCCTGCAGAAAATATAAGGAATAGAATTTGCACCGGGAAGAACAGTTGTTCCTCCCTCCCACTGCTAACTTTCTCAATAACTTTAGCTACATAACAGTAGAATTCAAAGATATAGTCATGTTAATCTGTAGAATCAGTATGTAGAGAGGTCTTGTGGCACCTTTGAGACTAACTGAAAGAAAGAAGTTGGCAACAGGAGCTTTCGTAGACTTCACTCTACTTCCCCAGATGGTTATAGTGAAGTGGAAACCAGGGACAGACCTATATATGCCATTGGTATGTGAGAATGTCAATTCAGATTCAAAATCCTTTGCGTATGGAAATGAAGTGCAAGTCCAGTTTTAACAATGGTTGTTAGTAAACAAAGACATTGTGAACTGGCCAGTGTGTATTGGAAATGAAGAGTTTCCAGAAGACCAGTTTGGCATTGGAAACTAGCCTGTAGGTGAGTGTAGGACATCCTCCTGGGGATGGGGTCAGCTAGTGTTGAAATGTGTGTAGTGAGTCAGGAAGCCATTATCCCTGTTCAATCTATTGCTGAGGGACTGTAAAACATCCAGGGGTAGCCGTGTTGGCCATATAGCAATTCCAGTAACAACAATAATCCAGCAAACAGTGATACCTTTGTGAAGTCGAAGGCTTTCATGGCCAGCATCCATGGTTTTTTGGTGGGTTTTTCGGCTATGTGGCCATGTTCTAAAAAAGTTTATTCCTGACATTTCACCTGCATCTGTGGCTGGCATCTTCAGGGAATGCTGGCATGGACATCCTTCCTCCTGCCTTTGTCCTTCAACAACCATAATTAAAACTGAACTCGTCCCCTTATCGCCATTCCCACAAGTTTTACATTTCTATGGCTATTCATATAGTCTGAATATAAAGATCCTTCCTGGACACCAGTTCATTCCATGCATCTGAGGAAGTAAGCCAAGTCTAGGAAAGCTTAGGCTACAACCTCTTTCGCTCAGTTAGTGTTACAAGATCCCTTTGTGTACATCTGCTCATAAGTTGTTCTGACAAAGGAACATCTCAAAAGCAAGGTACCTCTGAACTCCGTTCTGAGCATTGGAAAAGGAGACAATGAGGAAGAGCTATCAACTTTATGGCCTGTTTGTGATGGTGGTGGTTGTTGTGTGCCTTCAATTCACTTCCAACTTATGGCAACCCTACGGGAACCTACCATGGGGTTTTCTTGGCAGGGTTTGTTTTGGAGGGCATTGCCTTAGCCTCCCTCTGAGGCCCAAAGTGTGTGACTTGCCCAAGGTCACCCAGTGGGTTTCCATGACTGAGTGGGGATTTGAACCCTGGTCCCCAGAGTCGTAGTTCAATGCTCAAACCACTGCACCACACTGGCTCTTAGTTGTGGACTTTCTAAGAAACATCTTGTCAGCCAGTGTTCAGATAATCAGATCATTCTTTAGTCTAATCTAGCAAGGTGGTTCTTATGCACAAACGTTCTGTGGTTTCAGTATCCAAACTGTTGTCAGGTGCCTCAGTGTTTTTGACCATGGGAAAATGAAGCGTGCCAGGACATGACAATCTGTGATGTGCCCAAGAATCCTTCTGAAGAGCTGCCACACCAAAAGGATGGAATTCCCTGCTTGTAAGAGTTTCACCCATTCCATTCAATGGAAACCACCACCCATTTCAGTTGTGTGCAGATTCCTTTGTGTGCATGGATCATGCCCTCTGTTGAATTGAATGGGGAACCCTGTTTGCATATAAGGCCCCTGTCTTTATGGTCTCATTGATATTTAGACTTGACTTTTTGTGTCTGCTTCTCTTTCAGAGCCTATCCCTATAGACATCTCTTTGTGTGTTGCCATGTAGCATAGACTTTCCCCAGTCTCCTGACCCATCACTTTCTCAGCCCATTTTCCCCATCTGACTAAAGCTGGCTCTTGCCCACAAATGTTCATGTTGTAAGAAAATGATAATCTCCTGACGCCTTCAGACTCTTAATCTTCACTGAGTCTGGTTCTCCTTTTTTACAGAGCGGACATGAGCAGCTGCTAAAGACCATGGAGAAACGCATGATGGATGTCGAACAGCAGCTGAGGCTTGTGAAGCGGCTTCTCCAAGACAAAGTCAATCAGCTGAAAGAACAGGTGAGTCTACCCTATAGATGGAAGACTCTAAGAGGCGCACAGAGCCACCCCTCATCTGCACATGTTGCAACCCCAAGGCTGCACATAAGGCCTGCCATCCTCTCAGGGACATATGCTTAAGTCCAACTTGTGTTATGTTGTATGCCTTCAAGTCATTTGAGACTTATGGCAAGCCTATCAAGGGGTTTTCTTGGCAAGATTTGTCCAGAGGAGTTTTGCCTTTGCCTTCCCCTGAGACTGAGAACGTGTGACTTGCCCAAGGTCACCCAGTGGACTTCATAGCTGAGCTGGGAATTGAACCCTGGTCTCCAAAGTCTAGCCCAACACTCAAACCACTATATCACACTGTCTGCACCCAAGTCCAACTTACAGCTGCATATGTCTTCTTCTGGTTCTTGCAGAGATTGGAATTCTCTTCCTCTCTCTGCAGTAACCCAGCCACCACCACCCTGGACTCACCATTTGGCTGCTGAATCTTCTCACTCAATGGCCATTCAATGGCTGGCGATAAACAGATAGGGATCAGAGAAGCTTCTGGTTATGTCCCCATAGTTGGACACAGAATGATGAAATTACCTGCTGAGACATCTGGAGAACCCTAGCAGATGATGTCATCTTTTTGCATCTGGCTGTGGGAACATATCCACCAGCGCTAAACAGTGAGTCCTAGAGGACATAAGAGGAGAGCTATAGCATAGTGGAACTTTTATGCTCAGCTAAGGAATCCTTGTAATGTCATCTTAAATCATGATCCACTATGTACAGCTTAAGAGGGTTCCTTAGTTGTCATCTGCTATTTTGTCAGTGAACACAAAGTCTGAGAGTCCCTCTTGAGTAGCACTGTGCAACTCTTTGGCATATGACAGAATGCCTCATCCCAGCCTTGGGGGTACAGTTAGGGCTTCAAACTTTATGCTTCCCAAAATGTTTCGTTCTTGTGCTGAGCAGCTTTTAATTGTAATCATCTTGCACTTGTAGTAGAAAACCCAGGGTGGAAGTGATCCTGGTGCAGGGAAATTAACACTGTCTTGCAATTCTTTTTATATATCTCACCCTTTTCCCAAGAGTGAGCAGATCACATTACAGGTCTCTGCACTCGAGAGGTTTACGGTCATCATACATGCATATACAAGCTTCAGATGGCCAACCAGCAATGGACTATACATTTACCATCTACTGGACACTTTTATTGTATATTTGGGGCGGGAGGGATTGTAAAGGTTCTTTGGATGAAGGAGACAAAAATAAAGAAGTGATAGATAGAGCAAGAGCATGTGTGCTGTAATGGTTTGAACAAGTTGGAATATAACACTGGAGAGTAGGGTTCAAATCCCCCCTCAGCCATGGGAACCTACTGGGTGATGCTGGGCAAGTCACATGCTCTCAGCCTCAGAGGAAGGCGAAGGCAACCCCCTTCTGAACATATCTCACCAAGAAAACTCCATAGGGCTGCCATAAGTCAGAAACTACTTGAAAGCACACAACTACAACAAAGATAGGCAACTTAGTTGTGTCCTTATTTTGCCTTCCAGGGGCTCAGTGAAAGTGGCAGTATGTCTGAAAGGTCTCAAGACACGTACATTAAAGAAGGAGTTTGAAACTACAGGGTGAGGTAGTGGATAATTTTCACACACACACCTGACAGGTGCACCCATCCAAAAGTGCCTCCACACACAGCCAGATAGATATTTGCTGGTAGACAGATGAACATATGGAAGTCATTTTGAGGAATACAGGATTTTACCTGAACTTTTTGGGGAGGGAATGTGACAGACTGACATGAGGCTTTATGGGTTGCAAAAAATTGCTTGTAACCTACAAGCCAGTTTCACAGCCCCTACTCTTAATGGAAGGTCCTCTCCTTGTTTTAGAAGAGAACAGACACTCCTGGAAGTATTCTTTCTTTTAGCATCAAAGGATGGCTTTGGAGCAGAGACATGATCAAAAAGAGGTTCAAGCTAGAGGACAGAAAAACAGGCAGGACATCTGTTGCCTATCCTGAATCTCTTGCTAGTAACACCACTGCAAAGCACCTAACTAACAAAAGGAAGATCAACAGGGATAAATGTAAGGTGCCACATTTAGGAAGGCAAAACAAAATGCACAAATATAGAATGGGTGAATGTGTGTCGTGTGCTTTCAGGTCATTTCCGACTTATGGCAACCCTAAAACAAACCTATTTAGGTTTTCTTGGCAACATTTGTTCAGAGGAGGTTTGCCGTTGCCTTTCCTTGAGGCTGAGAGCATGTGACTTGTCAAGGGTCACTCAGCAGTTTTCATGGGTGGGTGAGCCTTGCTTTGAAAGCAGTATGTGTGAAAAGGGTCTATGGCAGGGACCGGCAACCTACAGCCCGCGGGCCTGTTAAGGCCCAGGTCCCTGTACTTACTGGCCCAGGCGGAAGGTTGCCGCCACTGCCGCACGCCGCCGTGCTTTTTGGCTGCCGTGCGGCCGCGGCGGCACGTGCGGGGGGGTTGCGCGCGCACGCCGCCATCCCCCCCCCCTGGCCCAGCGGCAGAGAGGGCTTCGCGGGACCGGCCCCCGGCTCTAAAAGGTTGCCTACCCCTGGTCTATGGGAATTGGTAGACCAGAGTACCCAGTGGCAGCAAAACATAAAAAGCCAATGCAATTCTAAGGTGCATCAATAGGAACATAGAGTCCAGATCAAGGGAAGTAGCATCCCACTCTGTTCTACTTCTGTCAGACCTTGGCTGGAGTCCTGTGTCCAGTTCTGGACACCATAGTTGAAGAGGGATATTGACAAGCAGAAATGTGTCCAAACAAGGCTGACCATTATGGTTAAATGTCTGGAAACCAAGCCTTATGAAGAGCAACTTAGAGAGCTGGGTATATTTAACTTGTAGAGGAGAAGAATGAGAGGTGACGTGATGGTCATTATAAATATCTGAAAGGATGTCATGTAAAAGATGAAGGGAGCTTGTTTTCTGCTTCTCCAGAGACTAGGACACAAAACCAGTGGATTCAATTTATAAGAAAAGAGATTCCACCTAAACATTAGGAAGATCTTCCTAATAGCAAGATTTGTTCAACAGTGGAATACGCTGCCTCAGAGGGCGATTGACTCTCCTTGTTGGAGGTCTTTAAACAGAGTTTAGGTGGTTATCTCTTGGAAATACAGTTATCCCTCCCCGTTCGCAGACTTCAAGTCCGCAGTCTCGCTCTTCGCAGGGAGGGTCAAGCGCCTATATTTTAAATGGCCACGCATGCTCACAAGCGTCCTCACACACACGCCACGGGCACGCACACCATTAGTTTCAATGGGGCTCAAATATTAGCGAGCCGCCATTTTCGTGGGAGAGAGGTCCGGAACGGATCCCCCGCGGGTTTTGGAGGGGCAACTGTACTTTAGTTGAAATTAATGGCCCTTGTGTTCCCTTTAAACTCATGATTTTATAATTCTGTGATTCTCATGAAGTTACACCTCACTGTTGATGCTTGGTGGCTCCTAAGTCAATACTCCATAGTGTGAAAAGAGTTACTTGAATCCAGTTCTTGTTCCTACACAGAGAGACAGCCAAATGGATGATGGAAAGAGTCACCTTTTTCACTCTATACGCAACAACCCTTTGTCTTCTGTGTTCCAGCTTACAAAGAACAGAAAAGCCAATGAAATGGTTAAAGACCTCTATGTTGAGAATGCCCAGCTTCTAAAAGCTCTGGAGATGACTGAACAGAGGCATAAAACTGTGGAGAAGAAAAACTACTTGCTCGAAGAAAAGATTGCCAACCTGAGCAGAATAGTCAACAACCTGGCCTCACCAACTTTGGGGTCCACAGTCCAGCTGGGGTCTTAGCAATGCCATGCCTGCCTAACTTTGCACACCTCATGCACTTTATTGAAATGTTGAATATTTTAGTTGTGTTTTTTTAAATGCTGCCTTTTGAATATTAGTGATGATGGCTATTCTCAGGGCTAGTCATTCTTTGTCCCAAGGGAATCTCACATTTGTGTTTTCGCATGTACATGCACAAACTCCATTTTGGATGCCTTATTGTAAACTCCTATTTTACTTTCTAGAAAGTTCAACACTGGTTAGGAAGAAGGAATGGGATGATGATGCTGGTGGCATGCACCCTTAAATGCTAAGTACAGGTATACCTCAGTTAACAAAGTACTGTATATACTCGTGTATAAGTCTAGAAATTTTACTAAAACATGTCAACCTGAAAAACCTGGGTCGACTTATCTACAGGTCAATGTAAGTACTATACCTTGACTTTTATCA